TTAAACCTGAAGGTTTAGAGAGGAGTTGTTCAGAGGTAAATACATGAAAACAGGGGTATGGACTTCTCTAAGAGGACACCCGCCCCTGCCCCCTCTTACCTCTCCTCCAACTTCTCTGGCTGCCTCTCACTGGTTACCAGGCTGGCCTTGAACTCATTACGCAGCCCAGACAAACCATGAATTGCCTTTCTTCAGCCTCAGTCCGCTTTGTGTACATGCGTGCTTTTGTGTCTGGGGCAGTACATATGTGTGCACATGCATGCGTAGGCTAGCAAGCAACCTAACGTGTCATTACCAGGGAACGATCTACTTTGCTGTACTGAGAAAGGGACTGCGGCTCGCCAGTTAAGCTAGGCTGGCTGGCCGGTGAGCCCCGGGAGCCCTCAGACTCGGCCTCCCAGGAGCTGGGGTCTACCACCGGGCAGGCCACCCCCCCCCCAGCTTTTTACATGGGTACGTGGGGGGGGGTCAGACTCAGGTCTCCGTGCTTGTGTTCATTACTGCCTGAGCTATCCCCCACCCCGTGCCTGTAACTAGATCTTGATTTCCAGTTTCCAAAACTGTGAGGGGAGGGATGTCTGCCGCTCAATCCACCCGTTCTTCAGTTTTCAGCCTAGTGGCCTTAACTGACAGACAATTCCCTCCACGACTCCACCGTCGTCAGCCATGGATGACAGGGGCTCAATGTGTATTCCTCGCTTGATAAAACTGAAACCCCATTCTTTCTTCCTAGCTATCTGGGTGGTGGTGTGGGGGAAGGGGTGTCTCTGTGACCACCACAGCCAGGAGAGTAATGACCCACGGGCACGTAGAAAGGCAGGTTGGTTGAACACAGCTCAGTAGCCAGTGTTGGTTCACACGTTGGGAGTTCGACCCCCAAGGAGTTTGTTTACTTTAGGAATAGTTCAGAACAGCACCGTTTGCTGAAACCTTTTCTGGTGATAATGAACTCAATCCCACGTGCACGACGAAGCAGGCACGAATCTCCTTGAGGAACAAAGAAAGCTAGGTAAGGATTGAACGTTACTACAGGGAAACTCCTTGCAGAGTGTGCGTGACACCATGCAGAAAGACGGGTTCTACACAGTTGGCTGAGAAAAGCAAACTTAGGATAAGGGTCCTGGGGAGGTCTGGTGTGGTTGCCAGTCACACGGAGAGTGGAAAGTCACCAGGCTAGAGAATGCGTCCACTCCCCACCTTCTGGGTAGACAACGGTACTGCCTGCATTCCTTCCCTTGAAGAACATTCCAGGTTCCCTCTGGTGCTATCTGTGAGCACAAGGACCTCTGAGTGCCTCCTCCATCTATGTGTCTGTCTGTCTGTCTGTTCATCTAGATCTGTCTAGCCAACTGTCTATCTGCCCGTTTTTGTATCCTGAGGCTGACTCTTACGTACCCTGGGCTAGCTTCAGACTCACTCTGTAGCAAAGAATGGCCTTAACATTTTTATTATATGTTTGTTGACTTATTTTATGCATGCATGTGGCACATGTGTGTGGAGGTCAGAGGACAGTTTGGGGGAGTCGGGTCTCTCCTTCCATCCTGGGTGCCCTGGGACTGAGTTCACGTTGTCAGATTCAGTAGGAAACACCTTTACCTGCTGTGCCAGCTCACAGGTTTTAGAGTCCTGATTCTCCGGCCTCCATCTCCCGAAGGCCAGGTTACAGACGTGTGCGCAACTGTGGCCGTGTCAGAAACTCTGTTCTGCCCCATCTCCGTCAGTGCTACAGAAAGCTGCCCCCTTGGCGGCGAAACTTTAATGGTGCTTCCCTCAGCGGGCACTTAACTCCCTAGCAATGACTCTACATTTTTTCTAGTCCATTTCCTCTCCTCTCAGAGTTAATTATTCCGTATCTTCTCCTCCCTCATCTGTGTTCCACCCTGACTCTCCAATGATGAGCTGCATCCTCCTTCACTAACAGGCCGCTGGAGAGTACTTCCTTCCGAAGCGTTCCCTTCCCGTGTGCCTGTCACAGGCTGCACCTGCACACAGGCCCTCAGTCACCTCTCCAGCTACGTGCCTCAGCCGCCCCTGCAGTTTCCCCAAACTCCAACACCACTGAGGTTCACTGTCTAGGGGAGAAAGATGCTGTTTGGGGCTAAGGGGTGGGATGCAGAAGGCTCTGGGTTTAATCCTCAGCACAAGTATGCAATAATTATAGCTTTTTAAATGCATGTATGTGGGTTTATATGCGTGCTGGTGTGTGTGTGTGTGTGTAGAGGCCAGAGGACAACCTTGGATATCATTCTTAGCGATGCTGTCCACTTTCTTTGTGCCAGGATCTCTCGTGGGACAGTAGCTCAACATTTAGGCTAGACTGGCTAGCCCAAAAAACCCAGGAATCCTCCAGTCTCTGCTTCCTGGGAATCACAAATGTAACTCCATGCCTGTCTTTTACATGGGTGCTAGGAACTGAAGTCAGGTCCTTATCTAGTAGCTGAGACAGGAAGATGGCAAATTCCAGCCAGGGCTACCACAGCCAAACCTTCTCTTATCATTTTTTTCCTTTAATAGTTGAGTATTATTACTTGAACATCACACAATGGTACAAAGATCAGAATCTGGGTGTGATGGCACCAGCCTGGAATCCCAGAACTTGGGGTGCTAAGGCTGGAAGATCACAGGTCTGAGGCTATGCTGGCTACACACAAGTCCCAGGCCAGCCTGGGCTAAATAATGAAACCTTATGTTTTAAAAAAAAAATAGTGTCAGCCAGCGTGGCCTACAGAATGAGTTCCTGGACAGCCAGGGCTACACAGGGAAACCCTGTCTCAAAAGACGAAGGAGAAGAATGTGAACTCCATGAGGGAAGGAATTTTTGCTTTTTTAGCTAATGTTTAACTCTGGTACCTAGAGTATTGCCTGGTGCATAGTAAATGTTCAATAAACATTTATTAAATGAACAATTGGTAACGTCAACGTCAACTTGTCCATAAATATAAATAGCTCAACTTCTACCACAAAAGATATTTGTAAGTATTTAGGTCATTTCTTGGCAAGGGAAGAAATGTTCAATTGATCATTGCTCATAATTAATGTTTACAACAGGAAACCTTATCAGGCTATCATTAATCAAAAACTTCGCTCTCTGGTTTTGGCAACTTTGTTTCATTTGTGTGTTTATTTGGGCTTATTTTGGGTTTGAGCAGCCTCTCAGGCAGCCACGGATAACCTGGATAACCTTGAACTCTTAATTACTTTGTTCAGGTGGACCTCAGACTTCAAGGCCAGCCTGGTTTACAGAGTGAGTTTCATGACAGCCAGGGCTGCACAGGGAAACCCTGTCTCAGAAAGAAAAAAAACCAATCATTATTTTGCTTTGACTTATAACTTACATATCTGTGTGTGGGGGAGAATGCGTGGGTGCAAGTGCCTGCAGAGGCAGGGTCAGGGATCCGGATCCCTGGAGCTGGATTTCAGGAGGTTTTGAGCTGCCCATCCGTGGTGCTGGGAACTGAACTTGGTGTTGGTTCCTCTGCCAAAAGAGCAAGGGCTTTTCAGCTACCGACTCTTTTCTCCAGTCCCTACCTTGAATTCTTGATCTCTCGGTCTCCACCTCCCCAGGGCTGGGGTTACAAGCATGCACCCCCATGTCCAGCAAGTGTGTGGGTCCCTCTGTGCATCAAGAAGAACAAATGTCAAGCTCAGCTCTCCCACTGGTATCACTGTGAGTGTGCCCGTCTGGTTTGAGATCTCATTTCTAAGGCACAGCGCACACGCCATATTCCACACTGAAAAGGGCTCCTCCGGAGAGAAAATGCTGGCTAAGAGATTTCAGAGAGATCCAAAATGGCTGAGGGGGCCTTTGTCTGATCAGTCCTGTGTGTCTTTTGTGAGTCAAAAAATCAGGACTGGAACAACAGTTCCCGCAAGCTACTCCTTCTGTTCGTAAGAAATGTTGTGGCCCTGCTGGATGGATTCCCCCCTACAGCAGTGTCTCTCCTCTGGGAAGACTTTTAAATCTAGGCCACGAATAGATTGTTTCTGACTGTTCCCGGTGAAGGACCACCGCCCTCTCCTGCCCCTTCCCCCGGCCCCACACGTCTGCCCACCCCATGCACGCTGCTCTCCCCAGCGTCATTTCCAATGCCTCCCTTCTTTCCACAAACAGCCACCGCCATTAAAGGGCTTTAATGTTTCATTCCAAATGGATTAGTTCCTGTGACCAATAGCCAATGTAATTATAATGAATGTCGTGTTAATCCTTGCGATATTTCCCTGAGTTCAATACATCACTGTGTCTCAATCTTTCGCTCTTCGGCTGCTCAATTACCCTATTAGGCTGTTGGTAATCTTTTATTGGGATTTATTTCATCTGTGGTGCACGAGCTTGCTTTGGGCTCCAAGGAATTGGCCTGGCTTGTGTGATGATGGGGATATTATTCTGGCTGTGCACCACTTCTAGTCTCTCCCCTAAGCCACATTACAAAATCCCAGAGAATCAGCTGGAACGGCACGCTTTGGACATTAACTTTCCCAATGGATGATGCTGCCGGGTCCATTAAGAAAACGTATCTAACGTTTTAGAACAAGGTGGTGATGTCACATAGAATAATATTCTAGAAGTTACTGCCAAAAAATAAAAAAGACTTCTGCCACTAGCAGTGTGCCTCCTCAACTAGATATTTCAAACAGCCCCCCTGCTTAAAAACACAGTGATACTAAGTTTAAACACATAAATATTCATATACTTTATTAGGGCCATGAGAAACTAAAAAAAAATGTCTAAGAGCCTTAAAAAAAAGTATCCAAAAAAGCTGAGATCGGTGTTTCCATGTAGAAGGCAGGTGACCATGGAGGAAATGTTAGTTGGTACAGGTCCTAGTGTGTGAGAACTGACCCCTACAGGCTGTGAGAGCAAAGAAAGAGGCAGACAGATCTGGAACCACACAGAGTACGGTTGCAGTGGTGGCGGTGGGAAGAGGGTGTTACCAGTTGGATCCCCGCCACCTGAACCTGACAGAGGAGCATACATACTGCCAGGAGGAAAGTAAACTTACCTACGTTGGAAGGTACCCGGTTTACCTGAAGCAGATACCAAAGAGTCCAACACGTTCCTCCAGCCAGGGTCTGGGTCAGCTGCATCTGCCAGTCTAATGGTGTTGTCCAGTGATGATCTGCTGAAAAACTATTCAGGACAAACAACCAGAATTACTTGGGGATCATGACAGTTATCACCCAAGATGGCTGCACTCATGTCAAGTTGAATCCATAAAAGCCCAAAGAAGGCAGGAGCAGCTGAAGAGATGACCCAGCCAATGAAGAGCCTGCTGTACAAGTCTGAGAAGCTGACCACAGGTCTCCATTAGCCATGTGAGAAGCTGGGTGTAATGGGGGGGGGTAGTGAGGGAAGATGGGCATCCTGGGGGTCACTGACCAGCCAGTCTACAGTCTAACCAAATTGATGAGTGCCACTTTCAGGTTGAGGTTCTGCTTCAAAAATAAGGTGGAGGGTACTGGAGAGATGGTTCAGAGGTTAGGAGCACTGGCTGCTCTTCCAGAGGTTCTGAGTTTAATTCCCAGCAACCACATGGTGGCTCACAAGCATATACAATGAGATCTGGTGCCCTCTTCTGGCCTGCAGACAAACATACAGTATAGAACACTATACATAAATTAAATCTTAAAAAAAAAAAAAAAAACGCCGGGTGGTGGTGGCACACACCTTTAATCCCAGCACTCGGGAGGCAGAGGCAGGCAGATCTCTGTGAGTTCGAGGCCAGCCTGGACTACAAGAGCTAGTTCCAGGACAGGAACCAAAAGCTACGGAGAAACCCTGTCTCGAAAAAAAAAAAAAAAAAAAAAAAGGTGTAGAGTAATGGAGCAAAACACCTGACGTGTCTTGACCTGATGTGTCTTGACACAGGCACACATCATAGGACAAGGGGCAATGGGGACTGAAGGTTGATGGCTTAAGATTTCCTCATAAACTATAAACCCGTTAGAAATGCGTCCGAGCCAGTGCCAGTGAGATGGGTCTGTAGGTAAAGCACTTGGCCCAGAACCCTGTTGACCAAAGTTCAATGCCCAAAACCCAGGTACCAGTGGAAGGGGTGAATGAACTCAACAAAACTGTCCTTTGACCTGTACACATGCCCTGTGGCAACACACACACACACACACACACACACACACACACACTCAGAGAGAGAGAGAGAGAGAGAGAGAGAGGTCTTGATAAAAGCCCAGCATTTTTGGGCTGCAGCTCAGTAGTAGAGTTGTTATCTGACGTGTGTGAGGCCACACCACGACATATAACAAAAGAAAAAATTCCAATACATATTTTGTTTTTGTTTCATTTTGCTTTTCTCTTCTTTGTCTCTTACTAGATAAGGTCTGACTAGGTAGCCCAAGCTGGCCTAGAACTCAAGGCCATCTTTGCCTTGGCTTCCTAAGTTCTAGGGGTTACGGGTGTGTGCCACCATGCCCAGCTGCCAACATAGTGTGAAAGAAATAAAAATGGTAGAAGGATAGCCCTCAGCAGACACCAAGCTTTGTTATAAATTGGGACAATTCGGGCTGGAGAGATGGCTTGTCAGTGAGGAGCACGGGCTGCGCCTACGGTGGTGGCACACACCTTTGATCCCAGCACTCAGAAGTTACAGGCAGAAAGAGCCCTGTGAGTTCGAGGCCAGCCTGGTCTACAGAATGAGTTCCAGGACAGCCAGGACTACACAGAGAAACCCTGTCTCATAAAGCAAACAAACAAAAACAAAACAAGAGCACTGGCTGTTTTTCCAGAGGACCTGGTTCAGTCTTAGTACCCACACGGCAGCTCACAGCAGTCTGTGACTCCGGTTCTAGGGATCCAACTGCCTTATCTGGCCTCAGACTTCCAGAGTCTCTGAGACCTTAACACAACTGACTCCATGGTGGAAGAACCATTCAGGCTGTAAAAAATCAGCATGTAGACAGCACCACCAGCCAAAACTAAAACAAAGGCCTAATCCATCAAAGTCCATAGTTCTGGGGAAGTCTCTGAATGTACTAGCCTTGCTTTTTGGCTTCTGTGCTTCTGCTTCTGGCCAACTGTTCTTGTTAACTAAAGCATGTCAACCCAGTACATGGTTTTGTGCTTAAAAGCTCACCCTGAGAAAGGCTGGGGCTACACTGGGACCCCAAACACCCAGTGTGGCCAGCGGCCAGCTAATAAAGACTTTCTATTGGCTTAAGTCTATGTCCGAGCAGTCTTCAGTGCCCCGCAATACAGAGTTTCTCCACATACGGAGTAGATTTTCAAAGCTAATATATGGCTAGCAAGGTAGCGCAGAGGGAAAAATATCTGTAGTCATGCTGATGAGCTGAGTCTAATCCCAGGACCTGCACAATGGAAGGAGAGACCAGACTCCCACCCGCTGCTCTTGGCACGTGTTCACACACACACATACACACACACACACACACGATGTTTAGAGAATTTCAATTTCAATTTGTTGAATGTCACTAAAGGCACATTTAGCCAAGATTAGTAAAACTTATTTCAGAAATTTTCAGGAAGCCATTTTTTTTGTGTGAAATATGTTTTATGAAACTTGCCATTGCCACCAGCTTTGGGACTAGGGGCTCCAAGTCTGAGACATTGATATTATCTTTGGGATGAAGTATCCTGACTTCCCTGAGTTTAGTAAAATGTGTCTTCAGTGTCACGCAACAAATTGTGTAGCCCTAGCTGTCCTAGGACCCACTCTGTAGACCAGGCTGGCCTCGAACTCAGAAATCTGCCTGTCTCTGCCTCCCAAGTACTGGAATCAAAGGTGTGCACCACCACCACCCAGCTATGAGTGCGTTTTCTTTAAGGACCAAGCTGGCCTTGAACTCACAGAGATCTGCCTGCCTGTAACTTCTGAGTGCTGGGATTAAAGGCGTGCACCACCACTGCCCGGCTTCTTAAACTTTTTGATAACACTTATTTATTTATCCATTTATTCATTTAGGGGACATTCATGCCCTCAAGTGGAGGTCAAAGGACAACGTGCTGGGGTCAGTTCTCTCCTTCCTTTCTTGTCAGTGCCAAGGATCAAACTCAAAATTGTCAGACTTGGCGTTGGCGGCAAGCGCCTTAATTGTTGAGCCACCTCACCTATTGCCTTTTGTCCTAAAAAGAAAGCTTCTCATGGGAGCAGGAGACGGACGGTTCAGTTGGCAAAATGCCTGCTAAAAATGCATGAGGACCTGAATCCAAAGACGCAGCATCAGTGCAGAGCCAGGCGTGCAGCTGCAACCCCAGCTCTGGAAAGGCAGGGACAGGAGGGTCCCCAATTCTTGTTGGCAACCCAGTCTAGCCACAGGGAGTTCCAGGTTCAGTGAGAGACTTAGTGTCAAAAAATAAGGTGGAGGGCTGGAGAGATGGCTCAGTGGTTAAGAGCATTGCCTGCTCTTCCAAAGGTCCTGAGTTCAATTCCCAGCAACCACATGGTGGCTCACAACCATCTGTAATGATGTCTGGTGCCCTCTTCTAGCCTGTAGACATACACGCGAACAAAATATTGTAAACATAATAAATAAATAAATAAATAAATAAATAAATAAATAAATATTTATAAAAAAAAAAAATAAGGTGGAGGGGTAATGAGCTGGCTCGGTGGGTAAAGGCTCCAAGACTGTTTGATCCGGGAACTCACACACTGGAAGAAGAGAACCAACTCCAGAAAGTTGTCCTCTGACCTCTCCCCCACACACACACATGCACGGGCACACACACGGCCTTCTTGGAATACTAACTCTCCCTCCAGCTATCACCCATCTTACTGCACCTTTCTCTTGTAAAACTCCTTGGAAAACACTCTACCCCGCTAACTCCAAATGCTCCTCTGTGCTTAGTTGGACAGTCTAGAGGCCATTTCCTGAGAGCACCTGTCAGCAGCATCACTGACCTTCCTCTTTTCAAATAAAGCTCCCTTCTGAGTGGCAGAGGTACTGCAGTCCTGGTTCATGGCTTTGTGGCTGGGTGGTGGGCCACCATGCTGGAAGTGGGCCCCGGTCCAGCGTCTCAGCAGCCTGCATCATGGCCATCTCTGCCACCTCCATTTCCAGAAACTGCACAAAATCTCCACGAAGACCTACTAAGGGTGCCCAGATGGCTGCAGTGGGTGGAAGGGACCAAAGAGGAGCAAAAAGCAACTGGAAGATGGCAGAGGTGGGAGAAGCACTAAGTAAGGCATGCACCCCACTTTTGCAGAACTCCATGCTGTCCAAACTGCAAGCCTAGCAGAAGGACCTGACCAGACTCTCCCAGCAGGTGAGCAGCGTGCCTTTGAGGCTGGTGTCCACAGGGCTTAGAAAGCCTGAACCAGACCACCCAAAGCCCTGAGCCTTTTATCAGATTGCCACAGAAACTGACCAAATCAGTCCAGAGCAGAAGTCGAAAGAATCTCTGCTCAGTGTCCAGAAAAGTGACAACCAAATATCTGTTGCTTCCCACCGCCGTCCCATTGAGCTAGCCATTCCGGGGTTCCAGATCATGTCCTAGGATGGAGAGGTAGCACACGCCTTTAAACCAGGCACTCAGAAGAGAGTGGCAGGCCAACTCCGTGAGTTCCAGTCCAACCTGGTCTACAGAGCAAGTTCCAGGACATCTAGGGCTGTTACACAGAGAAACCCAAATAAATGAGTCACTGATCAAGTAAATGCTTAGATCTCAGTTCACTTGACCTTTGGCACAGTTGTTCACCCCCCTCCGCCCTCAAACACCTGTTCCTCTTGGCTCTGTTGCCCGGGCTGGAGCGAATGCCTCAGCCCCAAGGATCCTGTCACATTAGCCTCCTGAGTGACTGTGACTATGGTCAGTCTCCAGCCCACCCAACGCTACCTACCTTTCCTCAATCCCTTCCTGCAGGGCTGTCCTTCCCGGCTTGGGCGCCTCTCTCTGACTCCTTGGCTCTCCTTTGTTCTGTTTGCGTTTACTTCCTCGGGGCTGGCGCCCAATTCTGTGGTCTTGAACTTCACCTTCCCACTGCTGACTCAGCCACTCCCTCCCCCAATTCCTCGATTTCTCTCCCCCGCCACCCTGTCTTTGTTTAGACATAAGGTCGTACAATGTCTAAACTGGCTCACCCAAAGCTTCCGGCAACACTTACCTTGCCTCTCCCTCCAGTGCTGAGAATACCTTTACACGCCACCTGGATTCTTCCCCACCAAGAGTAGGTCTCAGGAAGCCTGGGCTGACTTTGAACTGGCTACATAGCTGATCCTCCTAACTCGGACTCCACTTGGCACTGCCACACACAGCTTAGGTGGTGCTGGAGCTTCACGCAGGCCAAGCGGGCACTCTATCTGCCAGCTCTGCTCTAGGCCCCTCTAACTAAACATCTAGTCAATATCTCCACAAATATATCCCCAAGGGCCCCCCTTAGCCTCACACAAACCTGCTCTTGCCAGGGGAGAAAGAGAGAGAAGAAAGAACACGAGGCCGAAAGTTGATGAACTGAGACTGGGGAGAATTTTTTCTGTCTTTAGTTTTTTTTTGATTTTGGGGGATTTTTTTGGGTTGTTTGTTTGTTTGGTTGTTTGTTTGATTGGTTTTGGAGACAGGGTCTCTAAAACTGCTAAGTAAACCAGGCTGACCTTGAACTCATAGGGACCTGCGTGCCTCTGCCTCCTGAATTCTGGGATTCACCATGTGATCCACACACAAAGCAAACTTTTTTCTTTGGTTTTTCAAGACAGGGTTTCTCCGTAGCTATGGAGCCTGTCCTGGAACTCACTCTGTAGATCAGGCCTCCTCAAACTCAGAAATCCGCCTGCCTCTGTCTCCCAAGTGCTGGGATTAAAGGCATGTGCCACCACTGCCTGGCTATTTTTTTTTTTCTTTTAATTAATGGAGACTTTAAATACACAGAGTAGGCAACTGAGATTGAGAGGTTCAAGAAAGAAGTACAGATCAGGGCTGGAGAGATGGCTCAGTGGCTAAGAGCATTGCCTGCTTTTCCAAAGGTCCTGAGTTCAATTCCCGGCAACCACATGGTGGCTCACAACCATCTGTAATGACATCTGGTGCCCTCTTCTGGCCTGCAGACATACAGACAGAATATTGTATACATAATAAATAAATAAATAAATAAATAAATAAATAAATAAATAAATAAATAAATATTAAAAAAAAAAAAAAGAAGTACAGATCAGGGAATCCAGAGCCCAGGAGGCTGTGGAGCCCTGCAGTTGCCTCTCACCTACTCTAAGCCAGAGACAGCCAGGAGCCACAGCACCCACTGTGGGAGAAACACTGGGGAATGAAGTGGGGGGGGGGCAGTGTAACAGACCAGGAGGTGGTGGAGCATGCCTTTAAACCCAGCATCAGGAGACAGAGGCAGGCAGAGATCTGTGAGTTCAAGGCTGGCCTGGTCTACAGAGTGAGTTCTAGGACTGCCAGAGTTACACAGAGAAACAGGCAGAGATCTGTGAGTTCAAGGCTGGCCTGGTCTACAGAGTTAGTTCCACGACTGCCAGAGTTACACAGAGAAACACAGTCTCAAGAAGAAGAAGAAGGGGGGGGGGGAGAGAAGAAAAAAGAACTGGAAAAAAGAGCAGACATTGGCTGAAGCAGGAAGGGACCAAAGAGCAGAGCAGAGGCTGGCCAGGCAGCTGGCACCTTTGAGGTTGCAGTGTGGCTCCTTGACCAGGTCATGAGATGGCTGCCCTCCTCCACACACACAGCTAGGAGAAACCATAGACTCTTTCCCTCAGCATCCCCTGAGGTAAGGGATCCCACTGAGCCTCCTCTCCCCAGGCCTCCTCTCTGGAAAAGTTCTTGTCCTTGCTAAGTTCCTTCACTCCCAGCTAACCAAATGTCCCTACTTACTGATGGTGGCTGTGAGACCAGGCCTGCTTCAGCCTCTTAGTTTCAGGAGTCAGGAGTCGAAGTGACTGGTTTTGACTTTGGAAGTTATCACTGAGATAAAAGTTCCTGAAGGAGGAGGGCTGAACCTAGGGAGGAGGAAATGACTGAAGGAAGCACAGGCAAGGACGAAGGTGGGCGCAGTGAATGGTCCCACCCTCCTGAATGGGCCCCGGCTCTTCGTGTGTTAGTTACCACAGGTGTAGGCTCCTGGTAAAGGATGGGCTTAGTCACCTCCATGGCTTACAGGCCCGGGCGCCCTCACCATGTGATGTCTTCATGGGACCCAGAAAGAAGACCTCATCGGAGTCTACCCTTCCATCTCATGTTTCATAGGCCCCCAACAGTGAGCCTAAGACATTTCATTCCTTGTAAATGTGTGTATGCTGTATGTGAGGGTGTGTTGTAGGTGAGTGTATGTTGTATGTGTGGGTGTGTGTGCTGTGAGTGTGTGTTATATGTGCGCACCATGGTGTGTGTGTGTTGTATGTGTGTGTGAGTGTACGTGTGAGTGTATGTGTTGTATGTGTGTGAGTGTGTTGCTATATGTGAGTGTGTGCTGTATGCGTGTGTGTGTTGTGAGTGTGTGTTGTTGTATGTGTGCACCATGGTGTGTGTGTGCTGTATGTGAGTGTGTATGTTGTGAGTGTGTGTTGTATGTGTGTGAGTGTGTGTGTGAGTGAGTGTATGTGTTGTATGTGTGCACCATGGCGCACATGCGGAGGTCTGAGAACAGCTTGCAGAGTGAGCTCTCCCCTTCCACCATGTGGTTCCAGGGATAGGACTTAGGTCTGCAGGTATGGCTACAGGCACCTTTACCCACTGAGCCATTCCAGTGGATAGTGGATTGTTTCCCAAAAAGTTTGAGTGGAAAGTGGAAGTCTGTGACCTCGTTTTGGTGCCTCTCTGAAGTAAACAATTGTCAAAGCCCGGATTCTGACCTTGGAAAACTTTGCCAACAGAGCAGAGATTAAAACTTCGTGGTGTGTCCTCTTGTGAGGACGGAATGTTCCACCCCATAGTGAGGCAGTTTAGGAAAATCTACCCATCGCTGAGTGAACCACGCACTCTAGGAGAGTGAGATCAAGGCCAAAGGGGAGGGCAGGAAAAAAGAGGCTGCTGAGAGGGAAGCCTCGATTCCTTCTACCTAAGTAACAGGAGCGCTGGTAGGTAGGCAGGCTGCTGTCCCGACTCACACAGTCAGTAGAGGGCTGTGCCCAGGAGCTGCACTGTCACAGCCAGAATGCAGTGACATAAGGGGCCTCCAATGACACAGCCCGACAGTGGAGCATGCCCCAACACTCTGGAGGGAGAAGCAGGAATAACAGGAGTTCAAGGCCAACCTCAAGGAAACTCCGAGGACAGTCAGGGCTATATAAGACCCTATCTCAAAATAAAATTAAATAAACTGTAAGCCTGGTGTGGTGGTCCATGCCTGTAACCCCAGCACTTAGAAGAGGTATTAGGGATGGCTATAATGACGTCAGGCAGGTTCACATAATAAGTTCTAGGTGAGTGAGCTGGGTTTCTCAGCTGTAGCTAAAATGAGGACTCAACCTAAATTTCCATTAACAAAGGATGAATTACAACCAGGCAGTGGTGGCGCATGCCTTTGATCCCAATACTCAAGGGGCAGAGGCGGGTGGATCTCTATGAGTTCCGAGGCCACAGTGGTTAAGAGCACTGCCTGCTCTTTCAAAGGCCCTGAGTTCAATTCCCAGCAACCACATGGTGGCTGACAACCATCTGTAATGAGATCTGGTGTCTTCTTGAGGAAGAAGCTCAGTCAGTCAGCCTCATCAACTTAGACCATGAAACCCAATATAGACAAGTTCAACAGAACCGCCATATACAGGCTGCACATGCATGCTTCAGCATTACTAGGGCATAAATTTCATTCATTTCATTTCTGGTCTATAAAGCAAGTTTCAGGACAGTCAGGGCTATATAATCAGACCCTATCGCAAGAAATCAAAAATCAAACCAAACAAAAAGGCAAAAGATTATCACACACCGGCAAGGACATGGAAAGAGGGATTCTGCTCTGCTGGTGGAGATGTATAAATCGCACAGCCATGACAGAAAACAAGATGGAGCTTCTTCATAGACAGAGCTACCACTTGATCCAGCAGCCCTACTGGGGGGTATTTATATAAAGGCATTGCAAGCTGTGCACTGAAGATGTCTGCACCCCCATGTTTGTTACAGTAACATACAGACTCAACCTAAGTGTCCCCCAGCTTATGAATGGATAAAGAAGGTGTGTGTTACATACATAATGGGATACTGTTTTGATACAAAGGAATGCTGTTCTGGCATTTTATAGGAACTTGGGTGGGATTATGGGATATTATTAATGCAATAAATTAGTCTAAAAAGAAAAACACTATGTGTTCTCACTTATATGTGGAAGCTGAAGTTGATTTCAAAGGTGAGAGTAGTTATTACCAGAGCCTGGGAAGGAAGGCAATGGAGAGAGGATGTTCAGTGGATGGAGAAGTATGTTTGGACTAGAGGATAACTCTGTGTGTGTGTCTGTGTGTGTGTGTGTATATATATATATATACATATTCACATGTGTGTATGTTTGCGGGGGTCCCTATAAGCATCATAAATGGTAGTGAAATGATCAGCTGGGTGATGGTGGCACACACCTTTAATCCCAGCACTCAGGAGACAAAGGTAGGTAGATCTTTGTGAGTCAGCCTGGTCTACAAGAGCTAGTTCCAGAACAACCAGGGATACACAGAGAAACCCTGACTCAAAAACAAAACAAACCCCCCAAAAAGAAAAACTCAGTTCAGCCCAATTTAGTTGGTGCTGGTTTAGACTTCTGGAGTCTGACACCAGGCCAGTTTATTTTAGACATATTTAAGTACAATATAATTCTTGAAAAAAGTTTCCTGGTAACAATGATCTCAATTACACACGCCACTACAAAGATTAAGGTGTGACTACTCCAAACTCATTTGTATAGAGAATGTGACCTCAACTATGAAGATGGGTTCTCTAGCCCAAGGGCCTGGGATCTGGTGTGGCCTCCGAGATAGCACAGACCTCAGCAGGCTGCACTTGTGATATCTGCCCTAACCACAGGCTCTGAGGACTCAGAAACAAAGCTAAAGATAAAGGTCTAGGGAGGGAGAGTTTGGGATGAATATGCTAGGGAATTTGGGTGGGCTCTGGCTCTACAGATAGCAAAGGTCACCAGGCAGTAAACAACACCCACTTCTAGCCTCCTGGGCGGGAAAACAGGTATTCGTTCCCTCCTCTGAAGAGAGGACCCTTCCTGATTAAAATTCCTGCATTCCCAGGTGCTGAGCTGCCAGCACTCGTGCCTTCTCCTTATGTTCATGTGTGTTTGCATGTTCATGTGTGTGTCTGCATGTTCATATGTGTGTCTGCATGTTCACGTGTGTTTGCATGTTCATGTGTGTGTCTGCATGTACCCTAGCACTGGGGTTATAGATATGTGCCCCTGAAACATGGTTGCTGGGGATCTTAACCCAGTTCCTCATGCTCATGCTTGTGCAGGGAGCACTTTAGAGCTGTCTCCCCAGGCCCAGGATTGTAACATGTAGTGTTCTTTTTGATTTGGGGGGATTTGGTTGGTTGGTTTTTGAGACAGGGTCTCTAAAACTGCTAAGTAAACCAGGCTGACCTTGAACTCTTAGGGACTTGCGGTGCCTCTACCTCCTGAATTCTGGGATTCACCATGTGATCCACACATAAAGCAAACTTTTTTTCTTTGGTTTTTCAAGGCAGGGTTTCTCAGCTAGGCACTGTGGCGCACACCTTTAATCCCAGCATTCAGGAGGCAAAGGCAGGCGGATCTCTGTGAGTTCGAAGCCAGTCTGGTCTACAAAAACTAGTTCTAGAACAGGCTCCAAAGCCACAGAGAAACCCTGTCTCAAAAAAACCAACCAACCAACCAACCAAAACATTGAGCATTTTCATCCATTTGCCAACTGGACACGGCTCTTCTTCTGAGACTGTCTTTTGTCAACTTTCTGCTGAATTAGTTACCCTTTTCTTTTTCTTTTCTTTTTTTTTTTTTTTTTTTTTTTTGATTTTTCAAGACAGGGTTGCTCTGTAGCTTTTGGTTCCTGTCCTGGAACTAGCTCTTGTAGACCAGGCTGGCCTCGAACTCACAGAGATCTACCTGCCTCTGCCTCCCGAGTGCTGGGATTAAAGGTGTGCGCCACCAC